GGAGGGGAGGAAGGGGGAGGGGGAGGGAGGAGGAGGGGAGGGAGGGGGAGAGGGGTGGGAGGAGGGAGGAGGGGGGAGGGAGGGGGAGGGAGGGGGGAGGGAGGGAGGCTGAGAACACACCAAAAAGCCAGCAAGCTAGCTGTGTCTACAGGAACTCAGTGGATCATTTTGTAATAATACTGCATCAAATTTCATTAAGCTAAAGACCTAAAAATCATCAACAATTTCATCATGAAATGGAATTTAAGGCCGGGTGCCATGGCTCATGCCTGTAATTCTTTAGGCAGGCTGAGATGCGTGGATCACCTGAAGTCGGGAGTTCAAGACCAATCTGGCTAACACGGAGAAATCCCATCTCTACTAAAAATACAAAAATTAGCCAGGCGTGATGGTGTAATCCCAATTACTTGGAGGCTGAGGCAGGACAATCACTTCAACCCAGGAGGCAGAAGTTGCAGTGAGCTAAGATTAAGCCACTGCACTCCAGCCTGGGAAACAAAACAAGACTCTACCTTAAAAAAAAAAAAAAAAAAAAAAAAAAAACATGGAATTTGAGACTCAGCCCCTGAAAGGCAGGACCACTGAACCTATACATAAATTTGTACCATAATAGAAGACCAACATCAAAGAGGATTTATCCTGAATCAAACTCTCTCTTCCTTCATATGTCTTCACATACCAGGTCCGACTTAGGCCATGTTCCTTTTGACATTCCCTTGTCTATTCTTGTGTTTTTCCTAGCCCTTTCCAACTTAGGCATTTTTGTTTTCCCTTTTAGCTGGACTGGAATTCTAGCTCATCCTGGGTCTTTCTTTGTCTGGTTGGCTGCATTTGGAAGGACCTTGCTGAACTTGACCTCTGGTTATGCTCTGAAATTATTCTCTTAAAAGGCAACCAAGGAGTGGTCCTGCAAGCCCTGCCAATGTCTCCCCACTTGTGCATCAGTGCCAGCCAAGTTGGAAGATAGGATGGATGCCTGCACACTTAAATTTTTAATTGTTGACATTCTCAGTTCAGAACTAATTTTGTCAACAATGTATTAGAGTTACATAGTTAGATTATTCTATGGTAAATCTATGGGGTATACTCAGTTAATTTTATTCAACAAATTGTATAATAAACACAGATCCAGGAACGTTGTTGAGCAATGAGGTTACACTGATGAAAAGACACAGTGATCACCCTCAAAGATATCATGATCCAGTATGACAATATTTAAAAATTGGCCGGGTACAGTGGCTCACGCCTGTAATCCCGGCACTTTGCAGGGCCGAGGTGGGCGGATCACGAGGTCAGGAGATCGAG